TCGACCGACCGAAAATTTCAGTCGACCGCTAACAACCTAGAAAACTTGGAAATCAAGCAGAGACACCGTCGGTCGACCGGCGCGGTCGACCGATTTGAAAGTCGAGGTTTCGGTCGACCGTACCGGTCGACCGACGACCTCTCTGGAAAATAGTAAGGAAAGGTCATGGGAGCGGTCGACCGGACCGGTTGACCGCTTTCTGACATTTTGCAGAAAACAGTTTTTGACCAACTTGAAATATTTACAAAATACTTATTTGACATCTGAAAAATCTAAAACTTTGTAAAATGTTTTTAATACTAAAAACAAACTGTTTAGAAAATGAATTTTATAGATAGGTCCTCATACTTATGAAAAATAGTATTTTGTGAAAAACGTTTAAAAACCTAAGTATGAAATCGTGTGTGTGATTCCCAATAGCTTCAAGTAAGATCAGTAACTCTTTGCCTACATTCTAGCACTAGAGAGAGAAACAAAAGAAAGCTAATATCCTCATATATAAAGAACAATACTTGAGCTTTGATATAGCTTGAATCGGATGGAGCTTGTATTCGAATTTGTCGTTCTTAAAATAACGTTGCTTCATCTCTTGGCCTCCACCTCCTTTGGATATCTTCGTTGTAGCGTATATTCCATCCATCCTCCGTTAATGGCACAAACGAGCTTGATAAATGAATTTACTACATTTTCACTCAATAAGCTATTAGTACCGATAATGGTGGTTGTAAAACATCATCAAAACATAAGGGCTAACAGAAAATGATTTTGAAACCGTTCAAGGATTTAAGGTGTGTAATCTTCCCCCTGAAATCTCTCAATAATGGGGTGTAACCGAACCCATTAAGTGAAGATACAGTTTTGAAATCATTCAGGTTCTGTTTGAACCAGTCAAACGCAAAAAATGTGGGTCTGACCCCTACGTTTTGATGTTGCAACACAGGGAGGACCTCTGTGTTTTGATGTTATAACGCATGAATGACATATGCATTTTGATATTGTAACGCAGTGATGATCTTTGCGTTTTGATGTGAAGAGACCATCAATTTTTGGTCTCTTTTACTAGAGCGTTGCAAAGATCGTCATCTTGTAATTTTCGTCTTGGCTTCTTGAAAATATGAGAATCATCAGATTGTATCTCCCGATGTTGATTATGAAGGCTGTTGAATTAGAGATTTTATTGGTTATTGTGAAGGTTATTAGATTATAACATTCATCGATCTATGTAAAATTTTTCTAATTATAGCCTTCTGGAAGCCGTCAAATTATAACTTCTATCATCGGTGTTTGATGGGGATCAGCTATAAGCAGTAATTTTTAGACAACCTACATTAACTTCTAGGACTTCACACCAACGATACTTGGTTATAACCCACCAATGCCTAGAACAGTCCCTAACTATAAAAACAAAATACCGATTACCTACCAATGATGCCTCCTTAGAAGGCCCCCAAATATCTGAATGAACACCACCTAAAAGACCCATCGATCGATGGATAGAAGTGCCAAACTCCACATCGGTCTTCTCGCTCATACCAATATGCTCAAAAGAGTTCAATCTACAGGTCAAAGAACTCCTTAACAAACCATGCACGACATAACCAATCAAATATTTCAGCCTTAACAAATACCACAGTCTAGCCAAACCCAAAGAAGTTGTCAGCTCTCTATCAAATACCGCGCTCCCAATCAAATAATATAAATTCTTTTTCTTGATGTTCTTCATCATAATCATGGACCCAAATATGACCTTCAAATATGCATCCGCTAAGGTCACCCGATAGCCTGCTGCCTCCAAAACTCCAAGTAAAATGATGTTCTTTTTCAACTGAGAAACGAACCTCACTTCATCCAACTCCTGATTCACTCTGTCACACATCCTAATACGAATGATATCGATACCACTAATAGGGCATTCATGATTATTACCCATGAGCATGACATCACTTCTTTTCAACTCCTGAAAGCTGGAGAACCAATCACTCCAAGGGTAAATATGGTAAGAAGCACCCGAATACAATATCCACTCTGTAGAGTCGGCAACACAAACTAATGGTAGTGCTAATGAGTAGCCCGAAGAATCTGAATCTGAATTATCGCCACTAGTCTTGATAATATTCACCTTTGAAACTTGAGTAGCTTTCCCCTTATTCTTTCCGGCTCGATCAAACAACTTTGGACATTCGACTTTCCAATGTCCATCCTATTTACAAAAGGCACACTGATTCCTACGAACTCTAGGATGTGCCCCCTAGACTGTAACCTCCTACCACGGTTTAGACTCTTTGCTCTTGCGACCAATACTCCCGCTACCGGCTCAACTGAAGTCTCATTATCCTTCTTTCGAAGCTGATAATTCACAAGTACATTGATGACCTCACTATACGAAAGAGATGTCTTCCTATTAATAAGAGTAAGAACGAATGTCTCATATTCCTCGTCGGGCAAGGAACTCAACAATAACAACGTATTGTCCTCATCTTCAATCATCACATCTACATTCGCCAAATCCGTAAGAAGTTTCGTGTAGTGATTCATGTGATCACCAATGGAGGCCCCCTTCTTCAATTGGAAGTGATAAAAGCCTCCTCTTTAAATGCAAGCGGTTCTCTACACTCTTGGTCAAATACTTGATCTCTAGGATCTCCCAAATCTTCTTAGCCGAAGTCTTATTGATTATATCATATTAATTTCCAATCTTGAGTTAAATAAGATCTAATCACACTACACGCCGTTCTATTCATCTTTTTCCAAACATTCTCTTCAATGTCGTCCGTTTTTTCGTCTAACTCTAATGTATCTTCCAAATTTTGCGCGTTGAGTGCATCAAAGACTTTACATTTCCAAAGACCAAATTGTTTATGCTATTAAACTTCTCTACATCTATCATTATAGAGCGGATATTCAGACTTTGAAAGGTCTTCACGCCGGAAGTACTACCCACAACTCCTTCTTTCTCGACCATCTTTCTCAAAGCACCAACAAAACAATGCAGAACAAATAAAGAATAGATCCAAACTGAAAAAGAGAGATTTTTATCTTCAACTGAAACCCTAACAAGGGCCTCCGAAAGATCTCACCACACACGATGGAAACGAGATCCACAAATAGGAAAAATCCCACCTTTATCACCAACTGAAGCCCTAGACGAACTTCCAAAATGATCTACTCCTTCCATTAGCCCAAGCGTAGCCCAAGCTCTGACTTGTTGTGCGCGCGAAAGCCAAAACCAAACCGATGTGCTTCGAGGAACCAAAGCAAACGCCGAGATAAAGGCCAACCAAATCAAAATAACAGCACAAAACATAAACAACCAATTTTAACGTGGTTCGACAAGTTGCATACGTCTACGGGGTAAGAAAGGGATGTGGTTTTCACTAATTGAGAAGAAGAGTACAAACTGAGATTACAAATCACTCAAACCAACCAACTAATCTCACCAACAAATCTCTAATTCTCTCCACTAAAATCCTAACTAATAGCTCATAAAATACATCTTTTCAGTGCTCCAAATATCCCCACAACAAGCCTACCAAACCCTCAAAAACGTGTTCCTATTTATATCAAAACAGAAACCCAAACAGAACAGAAAAACCCAAACTGGGCCTGACCTGACTCGTGGTCGACCGCAGAGACACGTGCGGTCGACCAAAACCAATGAAAGAAACCAATAATCACTGCAGGGTTTGGCCGGTCGACCGGACTTGACACTGCGGTCAACCGCCAAAAGTCCAGAGACTTTTCCCTGTGCTGTGCACGTTCGTGGTCGACCGTCGCGTCACTCACAGTCGACCGTGAAGCTTCCAAAATGGTTCTGTTTCCCAAAACATGTTCTTTTTCGAACCCTTCGCCAATACTACAATTTACTGGTTCTGCACCTCATTTCCTGTTACTTCTTTTAAAGGTGTAGTTGTTTGATAACTTTGATTGACATGAAATAGAGCCGCATTAGTAAACGCTACAGGTCAAATATGTATTTTTAATGAAATATATATTTTTAATTTCAGCATTTAGTTAGCAGTGAGGTGATTGGTGATGATAGTTGAACGTTTATGTTGTAGAAATGGTGTGGTATTTGTTATAGTCGATTTGGCTGCAACAAACACTGCAAGTTGCATTAAAATAAAAATAAAAATAAAAAATCGACTTCACATTGTCTATTAGTGATTTCAAACTCAAACAAACGTAGACTATCGTACAATTACAAATTAACAAACACCTGATTTGAAATGAAAATACGTTTCTTATATGCAAATCCGAAAACTTTTCAGCTATCAACGTTTCCTCAATCTCTGATATTTTCAAACATTCAGCATTTCATTGATGTTATATGTAGCAAAAAAGATTCTGCACAAACATACACGCATATCTTTATGAAGACAGATACATCCGACAACTTGATAGGCCCCCCCAAATAAAATATTAATCTTGCACAATGAAATTAGTCTCCCAGGTCATTGAGATTCATATCAGCTCCCATATTCTCGTGAGTTGTCTCAAACTATCCCATAATATTAGCCCCTCAGATCTCTGAAATGCTCATCAGCCCCTCAAAGTTTTAATAATTCCATATTACTCCCTCAGATCCCTGAAATGCTCATCAGCCCCTCAAATCTGATGGGGTCTCGCAAGTTAGTCCCTCAATAATCAAAAGAGCTTTGCTACGGGGACCCAGAATATGGGATCAATAGAAGAGACAAGTGAAGGGTCCCCTTTCTATTGGATAATGAGTTGGTCATCATTAATGATGGTCAACTTATTATCCAATAGGAGGGTGACACCTCATTTGTCCCTTCTATTGGTCTCATATTTTGGGTCCTTGAGGAATTTTTCTAATCAAAATGCCCCCACCCACCGTACCCTTCCGCACGAAAAATCCAGTGTTTAAGGGCACACAAGTTGAGGGGCATTTTGGTCAATAAAAGAAATAATACGGAAGTATTGAAAATGCGAGGGTTTTAAGGCAACCCTATCCAAAGAGCGGCCCAATTTAGGCATGAAGGCCCAACCTTGATACCTAAAACCCAATCCCGACCAGCCCACAGAAAACCACCACCCTCGGTTCTTCATGCCCACTCTCCTCATCACCAAAACCATCAGCAGCAGCAGGACGGCTGCAGTCATCCCCAAAATGCTCTCCTCTTCAACCCGCAACCTAAACCCTAAATCCCTAATGGCCGCCATCTCGGACAAAACCCTAATCCCCAATCCTTCTCACTTCCCAAACCCTAGGCCTCTTTCTCAAATCGCTACCCAGCACCTCCAAGCGTCGGCTTCAAGGTCCATTAATGGAGTTAGAAGCGTTTCCAGTCGTAGCTCGCCGGTTGAAATCTCGGTTACGGGGGAAATTGAGGGCTCGGGTTCGACTTTGGTTGTGGTTTCGTTCTATAAGTTTGCGGATTTTCCTGATCATGCGGAGATGCGGAAGCCATTGAAGGATCTCTGTGAACAAGCAGTGAGTATCTAAACCCTAAAAAAGTATTTTTTTTTAATTATTTTACTGGAGTAAGTTTGTTAGGTTGCAATTTGATTGAGCACATTGATCAACTGTGATTGAGATGCAAATTTTTTTGGCTTGGGATATCTTGGCTGTGAAATTTTGTAGTTGGATAGGGAATTTATAGGTTTAGATGAACTGTTTACCTGAGGGTATAGTATGTCTTATAAAATTGGCTCACGACGTTGAAGATCGGAAAACAAAGACAAAATTTCGACAATGTGGTGTTTGATTGATTTTCAAAGTTCGAAGATCTTGGGCAGATAATTGGACAGAAGATGAGACCTTTGGGTTATAACGCCCTTTGCCTTAAATGTAGGGATTTGTTTGATCGATTTGAATACCAATCAGTTATTAAGTTTCTTTTTTTTTGTGGTTGGCAGTAACCTGATTTTATGAGACATCTGGATAGACAAAATCAAGTAAGTTAATTAGTTGCTTGATGGGGTCTCACATTTGTTCATTTTATTTATTTAATGATAGTTTTAGTAAACGCCTTCTAAAGGAGTCAACTGCCTCCACCGGCTGTTCTCCGCCTGATTCAATTTCTTTGAAATATCACTTTTTTTAATTGTTGGGAGAACCAAAACTCCTGAAATTGGAAAGGAAATAGTCTTCGATCTGAGATGAGTGTACCTCTATTCTTTAGTTGAAAATTTGTAGCAAATGTTGTGACTGATAATTCATAATTGTAACTAATTCACTAGTTATTTGTTACCTCAATTTGATTGTCCATCCTTGAAATTCAACCATCTAAGGTTCCTTGATAAAGAATATGTGAAAATTATTCTGATGGTACTTGCTGCGCATATATAGTTGACTCTACTATGGAGTGAACAAAGTGCAATGGTGAGTGGTAATCAACCCATATCATGATAGACTCCGTTTGGGACAGACCTTAACTGTAGGAATATTCAGAGACTGATCAAATTCTATTGTCTAATTTCCATATAGCAGGACAATCTAACCAACATATTTCCTAAAAATTAATTGTCTATAAAGAATAATAAGTAGATTGTCAAACTTGAATTTTGAGCTCATTAAGTTTTAGCTTTCTGTTTTCATTTACTTGTCCTCCATTTGTGTTTGGATCTTATTGTTGTTGTTTTCATCTTTATTTGTTCTTGAGTAATTGGTTCATAAGGCTTGGTTGCCCCTTAAGTTATGCCACTTAAATATCAGGGGAATAGAGAGATTATTAAGGTTTCCAAAAATCTTGGGGTTAGCATAAATTGTTACACACATTATTAATCTCATGAGGATGTCATACTTACTAGTTTCTTGTATACCATATTGGTATTTGCTTATATAGTGGAAAATTTATTCTCACAGAGCTGATTCTGTCCAGCGTGTTTCAGGTGGCATAATCCTTGCACCCGAAGGGATTAATGGCAGCATTTGTGGGACACGTGAATCAGTGGAGAAGGTACTAGAATTTATTCAAGCTGATGAGCGTCTTAAGGGTCTAAGATTGGTCGAGTCTCCTGTTACTCCAGAGGAAGAAGCCATCCATCATGGTCACACTAGTCATTCCCCCCTTGGAGCAGGGGAAGATGCACCTTTCCGATGGGATCATGTGCGCGTCAAGTTAAAGAAAGAGGTATTCTTGATATATTGAGAGCATTTTTCCTTCTTCTTTTTATGTTTATTATGATGTTTAAATGTGTCTGTGCATTTGCATAATTCTTACGTGTTTAGCTTTCAATGTTTGTTTTTGTACAAGCAGATTGTCTCATTTGGAGATCCAAGTGTGATGCCCACCGAGAAAGTTGGGAAATATGTGCATCCAAAGGATTGGAATGCATTGATAAGTGATCCAGATACTGTGAGTGTTTTGATGCCAGAAACATGTTGTCCTTCATAGTTCTATGCTGTTTTGTTGCTATACATATTTTCTTTTCCAAGTCAAAGAAATGATATTCTTAATTTCCTAAAGGGGCTTTCCTTGTTCTCAGTATTCCGGAGTTTTATTTATTATAAGTTTTTTGGTTTATTATTTGTGAGGGTAGTATCATGATGCAAATTCCAACAGCCTATTTACTTTTCATTTATCTTTTTATCTATTTTCTTTCACAGTTCTAGGCAATTTCCCTAGTCTGCTATGTGGTTGGAGCTTACACCGCATAGGCAAAATAGGTTCTCCACTCTCCTGCACAGCAGTTTGTTTTTTTTTTTGTTTTTTGTTTTTATGGCATATTCTTTTCTCTGGGCCATGTATGTTGTGGGCATTTAGCCCGTTTACGTTGTGTAAATGCACAATTAAATTAATCCATCTTCTTTAGGCCTCCATAAACATCATTATTTCAATGTTGAAAAATTCTGTTGGTGTACATATCTTATGGTTCAAATTAATTTCTTTATGTTGCCAAACTTCTATATCAGGGCTTGCATTGTTGATAATATCTGTATTAACTGAGGCTATTGGGTCATTCTTGAGGCACTTCCTCTACACATACAGCTCATCCTTGCATGTGGTTTGTCTAGTGATATCAATGCTTTTTTGCTTCTAGAATTTTAACTTGTGTTGTTCATTTGTGCAGATGGTAATTGATGTGAGGAATTCATATGAAACTCGCATAGGGAAGTTTAAAGGAGCAGTTGATCCATTGACCGCAGCATTCCGGGAATTCCCATCTTGGGTGGATGATGAGTTTGAATTAGCTGAGTCAAACCAGCAGTCAGATACAGAAGTTGAGGAATTGAGTGCTAGTGTCAAAGAAGAGACTGAGAATGGAGGACCTAAGAAGCTCCCTCGCGTAGCAATGTACTGTACTGGTGGAATCAGATGTGAGAAGGCTTCAAGTTTTCTCCTCAGCAAAGGTTTTGAAGAGGCAAGTATTTCCACATTATTTCCTTCTAAAACTTTTGTCTTGCGCTGCTTATCTCTATTTGAAACGTATCTCCATTTTGCATCTAGAGACTACAGTACTTATAAATGAATCCCAAACCAAGTGAAGCTAATTGAAATGGTTCTGGACCTATTTCAGAGAAAAAAAATTCCCTTTGTTCTTTCTATCTTCAGAATCATAAGCATCGTACATGCACCCAATAATCTGAAGGACATCACAAGTTTCTCATGATCAAAGTTTCTCCAAGAAAACTTTCTAGCAAATAGGTCATTAGCAAAATTTCTCAATTTTATGAAGTAGCAATTTCAAGCTGATTATCCCCAGAACTTTCTAACCAAATAGATCGTTACACGAAGATAACGGATAAATTAGAGATGTTCCTGAATAAATATAAAGTTTCATTAAAATCTTTATATAGTCAAGTCAAGCATAATAGAATAGTATCACTAGCATTTTGAATAGTTAATTATGTTATTCTCAGAAGAACTCAACATCATAGAAATTAGGGTTAGTTTTGGATAGACCCGCTGTACTATAGCCCAATTGCGGATAGACCACATGCAGTTCTATTGATGTTGATAGACCCCCTGTATTATTGCCCAAGTGCAGATAGACGCCCTGAGTGAATTTGCTTTTGATTCGTAATAAGAGTCAAAAGAGTTTCACCCAGGGAGTCTATGTGCACCAATAGATCTACAGTGGGCCATTCGCAATTGGGCTATAAGACAGGGGGTCTATCCACAATTGAACCCTAGGAATGAAAGCAATGCATTATTGAGCATTATTGACTACATTATCTAATATTCCATCAGGTCTGAGCTAAAACTTCATCAACAATGGGAAGAAATTTATGTCGAAAAGATTCAAGTTTTATTTCTGAATTATATTTTATATGGTTTTCTTCTTAAAATCTGGTTCTTCCATCAGAAACTGAGGAAAATATCAAACCTAGCCATACTGACAAAAAGATTGTCCGATACTGATACTGAGATTTGAGTCCTTGAAATAAACATCTCGTTAATTGTTGATCCCCTTTATACTGGGACAGAGTGCCGATTTATACCTCCAAACTATTTTACTAGCACTTGTCAATCGCATTATTAGCACTTGCCACTCGTGCCTCCTGAATTCTATGTTGCGCTTTGCTGGAATCACGACATAAATTACCACGAATCTGAGTATTAACTGCTTCTTACTCAAATGGGATAATCTTTACTGAAGCCATGTTTACTTGTTCCAGGTATATCATCTGCAGGGTGGGATTCTGAAATATCTGGAAGAAGTCCCAAAGAAAGAGAGCCTATGGGAGGGCGAATGCTTTGTCTTCGACAAAAGAGTATCAGTTGACCATGGACTAATTCAAGGAAGCTTCAAGCTCTGCTACGGATGCAAGCAACCTATAAGTGATGAAGACATGGAATATCCAGAATATGAACATGGTGTTACATGCCCATACTGTTTCTCCACCAAGTCAGAAGAAGAGAAGGAGAGGGCGAGAGCAAGGCAGAGGCAGTTTGAGAGTTGGGGAGTCATCGGTGGACCTGATAAAGGCCGGCGAAATCCTGGTAGAACTCAGAATGCTAGTAATCAGAAAGAAGAAAAAGAGATTTCTAAATCGATTTAGATAGTATGGGCACTACAAGGGAAAGCTTAGCTTTCTTGGGTCTCTGTTGTAACCTTATATTGGTAAATTAACTGTGTAATACGCGCTTATTTACTCTGGCATATAGTTCTTGTCCATTAGATTTTTAACCCATGTATGCGTCCCTTAGGGGCTGTTTGGAAATTCATTCTTCAATCTTACAACGTCACAATTTGTCCTAAAAAATGATATGCTGTGTTATTCATTATTTTTCAGTAAGATGAATCGAAATTTTTAAATATGATGAAGCTATCTATTACCATTAATCTATGATTTTTGATTTCAATGATGAGTTCCTGTTACTCTCTTGAATTTGAATGAACTACATAATGTGTACATGGATAAATTTTTTTAACTATATGCAAGCAAAATCTTTTTGGAAAAGAATTTGCATTGCTCATGATAAACATAAGTTTCATGGTATCACGAGGCTTTTATGTTTTATATCATCATGGACAATAAGGATACAGGCAAAGCTTATTACTTACCAACAAAAAGAAAAGGCAAAGCTTATTACTTACCAACAAAAAGAAAACGTAAAGAAAAAGATACATCTAACAAAAAAATGATGCTTAAAATTTCGTACAGAAAAAGATGATATATAACAAATACATGATACATAAAATAGGCAAATGCAACATTTAGGCTCCGTTTGGATACCGTGGCGTTTTACTTGTTTCCATGGTGTTTTTGTCAAAAACAAAACACCATGCGTTTGGAAACCATGATGTTTGTTGAGCTAAATCATCCTCAAACCAAAAACACAACACTTATTTCAAAACACCTTTTAAGTGTTTTAAGTTTGATGTTTTGGTTTTGAGTTTGAGAAGACGTTAATATAATATCTAACATAACATATTAAATATAATTAATATAAAGTTATTATCAACATGCTTATTATATTATATTATATTATAGTTAATATAATATATTAGTAATATTTATTAAATAATATAAAAATATAATAAATAAAATATCTTATATAATAATATATAACATATTAAATACCAATATTTAATATGTTAATAATGTATTATATAATAAATAAATAATAATAAAATTTATATAAACTAATAAAAATAATAAAAAAGTTATTGATAATAAATAATAATATAATAATGATATAATAATATACTATACAATAGTATAATCACTATAATATTATTAACTTTTTAATAAATAAGTTATAATAAAAAAATAATTATAAAATATTATATAATAGTAACATATTAAATAATAACATAACAATATAATAATATTATTATAATAACATATTGTATAGTAAATGTTTATTTATATAATAAATTATTAATATGCTGTTAAAGTAATTATTAATATACTCTAACATATTAGAAACTATAATATATTATCTTATGTTGAAATATTTAAAAAATATCAATTTATAAGTAATATACTGCTGGTAATAAATAATAATAATAGTAATAATATATTTTATTAATAATATAATAATAATATAGTAATAATAAAATAATATTATTTTAAAAATATTATATAATATATTGCAATAACAAATTAATATAGCAAAATAATAAATATATAATTATTTAAAAATAATATGCAATAATTATAATATAATATAACTCATTAAAGTACAATATAATATTATAATATATTATATAATATTATATTGCATTACATTTAATACTTATAATACTATAATAATATGTAAACTACATATTATAACATTTTATTTATAATATATTTTATTATAATTAATATATAAATATTAATAATATGGTTAATACTAATGTTATAATGGGTCAAACTAGTGTTGACCAAAAATACTTAACATGATGTTTTGAAAACATTTTAAGAGAAAAATACAACACCATGGTGTTTTTTTTTATAAAAATACAACAAGAAAAACACCATAGTATCCAAACGAAGTCTAATACAAATATTTTAAGTTATGTCGTATTGGATTTTTTCTTAGAAATCACGTACAAAACTAAAGTGTATTTGCAGGATAAATGAACAGTTCTTTGGGTCCAAAGGGTTCCAGACTTCCAGGCATTTTAATTTTTGATTAGGGGTGGAGAAATGGATATCTATAAGAAGAGGGTCTAGAAATAATTTTCCCATATTTTAATCCAAATTCCAGCTCATTATCACACTAATCGGTCAGAGTTATCTTAAAAACAAGAGCCGGTGCCCGTACTCAACGACCTTTTATTCTGTTCCTCGAGAGTCCTTCGTCCCTAATCAAATTCTTAAAAAAAAATAAAAAAATAAAAACTTAGGGTTTTTTAGCATCCGAAGAAACCAAGAGAAAAATGGAAAATGGA